ATATATACACACACACACACACATATATATAGGTATATGCCAAGTATCAACACAGCTTTAAAATTTTGATAGCTTTTAGTCTTGCATATTCCTACTAGTTTGCCAAAATATGCCAAAATGTCTTACAATTCACAGTTAAACATCTTGTACTGTAGAATGGGCAACTGCTGTATCCCATACACTTAACAAGTTTCTAGTCCTGGAAAAATGTGTCAAATTAAGTTTCATGAGCATCTTCATGAGGCCAAAAATTCACTGACAAACTAAAATTAATTCTGCTATAAATACATTTTTACTCCATTTATGCACACAGCTCTTTATACCTGTTAAATGTCCTCTCTTTCCCCTTTTTAATCACTATTGATACTGTCAGGAACTACATTTTACATTTTAGCAATCACTGCATACACATCATGATTCCTAGAATTTAAAATGGAATTGTTGATGGTTCAGATACTGTTAGACTGTCATTAATTCTGCAAAGTATATCATTCATCAATTTGGAAGAAATGACAGTACCTTCACTTGTACAATGTGCTTTTAAACTTCCTCTAATTTGAAAATGCCAGTATTACACTTTGCTTCAAGAGAGATATTTTAAGGCTCGCAAGGTGGCTTGTCACAGAGCACTTTGTCAGGTAGTGTTTTGTCTTCATTAAGGTTTATTCACATAATGTGACTGGCCTGTCTGTGATATTCCCCAAAGACAATACATTCTGTCTTACCTGATAGTAATGAGGCCTCTGTTAAATTTTCACCCTTCTCATCAGTGCTGCCGTCATAGTCATCTTCTCTTCCTGTAGCCATCTGAGGGATAGCTATACTAACCCTAGAAAAAAAAAAAAGCAAATCTTTGACACCTATTATTCTTGCAAAGAATTTATCATGATTAGGCAATGCAAGCTGATATATGTCAACACAGCCAACAGGGTCCCGATGCTGAACAGCTTAGCATAGTCTTAAACAAAGACAGAAAATAAAAGGTAAGCTAAGATATAAAAACAAGCAGGATAAAAATAGCAAACAAATTAAGCTATATTGTAGCATTAGAATAACTCATCTTCTCTGCATATTTTTGAAATAAAAAGTACATTTAAATATTTAGATTTAGATATTTTTGTTTGCCAAAGGACAAAAGGAATCCAGTAATTTACTCTGATTTGAAAATCAACTGCAACCTAACAGAAAAAAGAAGATGACTCATACATTGAATATTTAGTTCTTGGCTACAGCACCCAAAGCAATATGCTGCTAATTGCAGGGATGCCACAAAGAATCCTCTGCTTTCATGACTAACTGTATTGTTTTGGAGAACCAAGTACTTCTCCAAGAACTGTCACTCACTGTTAGAGACAAAGAAAGTAAAGGAAATTACACTAAAATATCCATCAGGTATGACACTAAGTAACTCAGGAAGATCTAGAAATACCTTGCACTTTTGGCATCTGCTGCAGATTCTTTAGCGTCGTTCAACAACTTCTGTAAGTTTCTTATTTTTGCCTTCTTTTCATTCAGCACCAAAATAAACCGGTTATAAAGATCCAACTCTAGTTCTTCTTTAGCTTCCACACATTTTTCCAGCCTACAAGGTAAAATTAACTGTTACACTACTTTTTTTATTTTAAAATTCTGTATTTCCCAGAAATCCTGTAGTAAGGCCAGCCTTCCCATTACAGGAATCTCCACACCAAACCACGCATGCCTGGTACAGCATCTTGTCTCTGAAACAGGCCAGAAGCAGCTTTTTTTTTTTTTTCACTTTGCTACCAAAAGGGGAAAGTTGCCAAGGGAAAAATTTTCTCTGCATGTTTTTTTTTATAGGTTCTTGCAGACGTGCATCTGAGAAAAGTGAAATTTAAATAGGTGAGTGTGCTTTACTTTCAATGCTGAATTCACCATAGTGGGCATACCTTAGCAGGATACACTTAATGAGATTACAAATAGAAATGATTAAGCTAGACAGGTCCCGAATCTGGACCACACGTTTGGACCTGAAAGATATTTGAATAGAAGAAAATGATAGTTAAAAAAAGAAATAGGCAGTTCCACTCCAACATGGGCTGAAATCGCCACCAAATACTTTGGGCTCCAGAACTCTTTCCTTGCCACGACTCCCTGGGTAGACGTGGGTGTTACAGACCTTTCCCTGCCCATTTTCCATTGCCAGCCTTAGATGTCTTGTTCTGGCAATGTACAGAAACTTGTTCCTGGCAAAACTCATCAGAACGCTGCAAGAACACCCGATGGCAGCTGTAATCCCTCACAAGCATCCCCACAAACACTGTGCTAATAACTCCAGTGCTGCAGAATCCATTTCAAACTGCAGAGACACAGCTGAGATCTTGGTACACGTGCAGCCACTACTAGGAACACTTTTTTTTTCACCTGAGCCAATCACAATTACTTGGCAGAGGACTAAACACAGTATCTATAAAAATGTTTTAAAAGCTCTTAATTAATATCCTCAGAGTAAATTATTCTCCAGGTTTTTAAGGGTTTAATGTGCACCTCTAGACAGTCAATGTCAATAAAAAGCAGCACAATGGAAATACAAAATTGATAATATGGATGTATACTGTCTCATAAGCAACACAAAACTAGAATATAAGCAAACATGAGAACAATAAATGAAGTGACTGAGAGCACATGTAATCCTGTATTTACTTCTTGAATTTCATAACTTCTTAGTTCATGGGTTGAACCACAAACATTAACAGTTGTGCTCATAACAAGCAAATAAACATCTTGAGTCTTATTGATCATGGTAACTACAGTATTATAGTAAATAGTCATAACCTATAAACAACATTCTTTTCACCAACCTACGCAAGTTTGGTAAAAAAGTTTAGAAGGCTTTCTCTGTTATTAAACCCAAACATATAAGAGATTTTTTAAAAAGTAATTTATAAGGTAAGAAATTTCAACAGACTTCCCACATAAATACTGATTATTTTGCTCATACATCAAAACCATATATGATGTAAGAAGAAAGACAATAGAAAACAATCTCATGAAGTATTAAGTCTACTGTGCAATGCTTTAGGGATATGCCTGATAGTTGATAAATAATTCATCTAATTTAAATGCAAATAGCAGAACATCATTACCATATAGATTGGTCCAATAATTCCTAAATGAAAGATCGTATGTAATAATCAGGTACCAGGAGATTTTCCACCAACAAAAGGAAAGTTAACTGTTTAGTGGGGAACCAATAGACAATTCACAAAGAATCATAAACCCTAATACTGGGTTGAGAAGTGTCTTCACCAGCTCATGGAAGGAGAAAGGTAAGGATAGGAATTGCCTTCCACTTATCAAGTAGAATTCAGTCACTTAAAAGAATAATTAAAAAAATAGAGTTGCTGGGTAAATTATCACTTATATGCTTGAAACTAATTGTGACTGTATACATAAAAATGGGAGAAAATAAAGGATTTTGTGTAAATACGTTAATCCTGTCTGTACAAATCCTATAAAAATTACCCCCTCCAACACACAAAACAACAGTAACTAAAGAAAGCAGTTACTACTGTGCCTTTGTTTTGCCAGTGGACTGGTTTGTGTCAGAGCAGCAGAGGTTGGTTTAAATAGTCACATTGAGACATTTTGCTGACTTCGTCATGAAAAGTGTCATATAAGATAATTTCAGTGAAGCCCTTGAATCCTGCAAAGCCATCCACTGATGAAAATCCACATAACTGCACTCTCAGTGAAGTCAAATTGACATTGCCTGGACATTAAGAAGCAAAGTATAGGAACCTATTGCAACACTAGCCAACTTCTATGATGCAAAATATTAGCATCTCAAAATGTACATACTGACTATATGCATACATTAGAATATTAATTATTCCCCACAGGCAAAATCAATTAGTAGCATGCCATCAGTTAATCTTACATGACTGTTTTCATTTATGTGAACACATTTTTTGATTTTTTTCCCTGTTGCTTAAAATAATCCATATATAAATACATTCTCCAGATACAGATATTGTCATAACATTAAATCAGTGTAAAACAGTATTACATTAATGCTATATTTGCAAGTTATGAGCCTTTAAAATATGCTGTTATATGGCATATGATGATAGTTAAAAATGGAATAGTGAAAAGCAGCAGTCCTCTGCTGCTTGGGAACAGGGATGCACTAATTATGCAGAACGTACTTGCATGTGGGATGACTCTGGCTGCGGCTCTGCAGAGCCTTTAGGATTCACTCAGGCATGCACTACCTGAATTATGTGACCGCTAAGCAAAGCTGGCTGGGTTTCATTCCAATACCTCATCGGTTACAAATGCAAACTTTAATTGCAATTCGTCACATGCTTGTGCCTGTATGTGATTTGTCATCGCTATATTGCCATCTCCACAGGCCAAATAGAGAAGCTGCTCATCTCAAAGACAACTTTCAAGTACAATGAAAATCAATGGAATTTAATGACTAGGGCAGTGCAAGTCTTTTCCACACATGCTTTCCGATTTCTATACTCTTAGACCTCTCTGTTACGCAATTGCAATGCTTTTAATGTGCCAGATGCCTGAGTTGATAGCCATCAAAAAGCCTGCATGGCCTACTGAAAGCAATTAGTATCAGGGATGGTTGTAATCAGTAATTGAGAAAATAAGGTAACTGTCCAGTTAAGTGCTGCCTGAATGCAGAGCAATCACACGCACTCCAGAGGTTAACGTGAACAATGTAACTTAATGGCATTTATACATTTTCCACACTCCAGTACTAGAAAGAAAAAATTCAATGCCTCTGCTATTTATCTTCATTCTCAGTGCTTTAAAATAATTACTGGTCTTACGGTACCACTTTATTACATTTCAGATTCACCCTTCCCTCAGCATTGGCAATGGTATTGAATCTTGATGAGCTACTGCTGAGAAGTCAGATTCAAGCACCAAACTACCTAACCTGCATTTCTGTAAGTTTTTTCTGGTTTAAATGTACTGTCACTATAGTTGACCACAACATAAATCAGCAGTCATTTTGATTTTGGCTTGCCTACACTAATTTCAGATGTTTGACACAAAATACATACCACACTCAAATCGGAAATTTAGCTTGTGTTTTATTGGCTAAAGAATTACTTTGCTACATATTATTATTACTTCACATTTATCACCTTAATTGTCTATATGTAATAAAAACAATAGCTATCCTGCTCTTATATTTTAACTTCTACACCCCAGACATGCACCCACACACACACTAACCCACTCACAGCATTTTCAGAATAATCCTTTTGAAAAAGTTTCCTTAGCATTTCTATTTGGCTCTTGCCAGATAGTGTATTAGTACTTTTTATTTTATGTTTTTAGGTCAAGTGCTGAATAGTTTAGCATCACAGTGCTGCCATGCCAGCTGTTTACAGCCAAGTGAATTATCTCATGTACATGGAGGCAATTGCCAGCTGCAGATCAGGGCTGGTATTCAGGTTACAGATTGCTCACTAGGCAGATTTAGCCTCCTGAAGGAAAATTCCTTGCCATTTTACAGATCGAATGAAAGAACAAGTTTACACCTCAAGAGACCCCAGAGAGCTACAGAGCAAATCTGCAGAGCCGAGCTCACAAAACCGTCACGATGGTCAAGAAAACTAAGGAAATGGGAAAGGGACGATTGAATTCTTCCATCCAGTGTTGCATGCTTAGCCTGAGAAAAAAAATAGCTCCTGGAAGTCTGCATGCTATGTTTTAAATCTAATGAGGTCCTGAAGAGAGATTTTAAGCAAGGGGGACTGCAGCAGCTGAAACTCTGGAGCTTATGTGCCCTAACTCCAGGTGAGAAGGGAGCACAATTCTCTGCACCACGTGCTCTATATCTGATGTTTTATCACTCAACACCATGAGTGATACAGAGTCTACGGTTGGAAATCCTGTCTACTGAACAAAGACAGACAAAGCTTCTGTTCAGCTCCAAGAAACTCACACCACTAGGTCCAGCATCTGGAGCCAAAAGAGCAAAGAGAGACAGAGAAGTAGCCTAGGCTGTGGCAAACAGAATTTTAAAAAACCAAGCAACCAACCAAAAAATATCAAGAAAACAAAAATCCAACACTTTCTGGATGAAAGTTATTTTTATTCTCCATTTTAGTGGCCAAAGTTTGGTGACCGTGCACTTTCAGTATTTATTTTGAAAAATCATGTTTCAGTTATTCAAAACACAAACACACTAAAGAAAATCGCCAGTTTTCGAAGCTTGAATATGCTGCTGCCAAGAGCAAAGGCTGTCAGGCAACAGTGGGGATTTTTCCCTCGGGGTAACTCCTTAAAAGTGCCACACCACCATGGAAATTGATACACGCACTAATGCCTATTACACATTAGCGTGTAATGCAGTACAGCACACTGGTTATACAATACACTATTGTTCGATAAATTGTTGAGCAGTAAAGCACTGCTTAGGAAGGCAATATGCTTGTCAGGGAGATTGTCAGGAGAACTGTTAGTCATTTTAATGAGAGGGAAACAAAACTAACTCTCTTTTTCAAGGCAAATTAGCACCAATTAGCTACATTCTTTCAACCATCTTCCTAAATGTGGGGGCTTTGTCAGATAAAGCTATAGAAAAAACAAAATAAATCTCTGACTTGTATGGGCTAAGCATTTTATGCTACCTGAAACAAGGGAAGATTACTTCACTACAGAGTGCAGAGGCAGATAATTCCAAACACAAATGCAATGGCAACTGAAAAAATCAACCTCACAAAATAATGGTGATTTTTCGTATGACAAGACACTCATTTTCCAATTCCCTTTGCTTTTACAAGGCAAACAGATTAAAGGAATGGTAACTTATCTCCCACTCAGAAAGTTAAATAATTTAAACTGCTAGTCATAAGAATAATAGAAAACAGTAGAAAGAAGTCTTTCTGAAGAAAATGGAGCGAATTCTACAGAAAAGAGGTAATTTTTTTCACTTCAAAAAGGAAAAACCAGCTTTAAGTGCAAAGTTTGTAATATTAGTTGCACTTCTAACATAATAAGAAGATCCACAAGTACACACAACTGCATGAGCTCTAAGTAACTGGGCTCAAAAGAGAAGAAAACCTTTTGTGTACCTTTCTGTGTGTGACTTCAAAAATGCTCACCAGCAAAGCCTGCACTACAGTGTAAATATTTGTGAGTTTCTCAAGTACCACACGTGAATGCACTTTTAAACTTACCGCTTCTCCACGTTGCTCCAGCCGCTGAAAAGCCTTTCATTTTCTTTTTGCAGTTGCTTGTTTTTTGCCTGCAGTCTTCCCAGGCAGTCCAGGCAGTAATCAATCAGCTCCTTAACCACCTCTGCCGGATTTGAAACTTTCTGTAGTTTCAGAGATCCAAGTTGAAACTAGGACACAAGGAAAAACTGAATTACTTCCCCAGCACCAGAAAGATCAGAAAACCTCGCTCCAGCAAACTTCAGTGTATACTGAATAAGCATAAGAAATACTTTACAGTCCTCCAGTTCCAAGTGATATAACAAATCTGTCACAAGCATAATTGTGGAATAAGAGGAATAATCTAAACGTCGATTATTTATTCAGCCATGATGTCTTAATGGTCACCTGTCACTCAACAGGCACAGGACATAAGCACCAACATACTTTCTAATGGGCAGGAAAAGAGATGCCATGCAGCAAATGCAACATGATACAGCAACCACCTGCTTTTGTGCAGACTGGAGGAGGTAAGCAGTGTAAAGATGCAACCACACGTTTTATAAAATAGGTATTTTTGAATTAATGGAGAAATACAGGAACTGATAACCTAATGGTATTGCTAACATGCTCTTGCCACTGGCCCAATGAACTAGCTGAAGTAATTTGCTGCATGTTCTGGCACTCACAGCAGCAATACAACCACATAAACATTAATGTTCATTTGCTTTATCAGTAATTACCTTTGATTTAGAGTAGCACTACAAATGCCTCTATAAAGCTTGCATGCACTTGATGGATAAAAACTAGTATGCAATTTTTCCCCTTCGGAGCTCAGACAGAAAGTTCTTAATAATAAATGGAGTCCTTCAATTAAATAGGCAGCCTCAGGAATTCAATGAAACTAAAGGGTAGGATATATAATGAATAGTTGTGTTTCTTCAGCAATGGGGATGTTATACAGGATGTACAAGAGGTCTGAACAGATTTCTTCTGCCTGGTCTGGCAGCAACAACAGAAAACTGCTCTTTCTCTTATGTTAAAGGAGGTATAGTTCAGCCACACATACAAAACGGCGTCAGCTAAACTATGAACATACAGAGTTGGATGAAGATATAAAAACATTCAACTTGTCAGTTTCAGGCAACTGAAGAAGAAAGATACTAAGGGTGCTTAAACAGGGTCGTACACATTATCTCAAGAAAAGCAAACCAGAAGTGAAGGACCTGATTTGGTGCTCTGGAGTGGGCAGATGATGGGGCATCTGAATTACCTTAAGGTACACTTCCACAGCTGATAGAGCCTACAGAAGCCATAGGGGGCTTTTCTGTCACCTCTCTGTATCTAGCAGCACCACCATTTGCCCAGCTTGACAAAGAACTGGTAGAGGGAGCAGATCCAGAGAAAAGCAGATTTTGGTCAGTGTAAACTATAGCAGAAGCAAATCTTTCAGGAAAGAGGCATCAAAATGACTTGGTTTTGATTGGAAATGCCTGCAGAAATGTTGAGTTGGTGAGGGGTATGTAGAAGGAGAAGGGGTCCTCTCTCACATCTTGTAATTATTAAAAGGATTCACATAATTGGTGTGGAATTTCCCTATGAACAGAACTATTACACATCTTTTTAACTTGAATACATGGCAATAATATCTTAAAAAAATACAAATATAAGTGGCACTTGCTAGAGAAGAGTTCAGTCTGTGCTGTGGCATTTCCAGTATTAAAACCATAAAGGCTATTTCGTTGATTTTTCTCCTTGCTTTAGTTCATTTTACTTGAGAGGACATGGCAAATAAAAAAATAAAAGTAATCTGTGGAAAAAAACCCATGTAGCATTTGTTAACACTTTCTAAAAAGCAAAGTTTACTATTACTATACAAAAGGTTTTGCTGAAAATGGCCTTGTAAAAATTGTTCATAAAGATTTTAAAGGCATTGTTTAAAACAAATAACAGTCCGTCAATTTAGATAAGACATTTTACCTGTGGAAGTCTCTGCAACAACATGTGATACCATCATGAGCTTCTTCAGCAAGGTTAATTTGTCAGAAAGTGGGGCAAACTCAAAGGTTATATCTCAAATAAGCCACTGATCTTTCCTCCAAATTCACAAGTACTATCTCTAACATGTTGTTTTCCTTTAGCTTACATACATCTGATGGCTATAGATGAAAAGATGCATTTAATTTATTTTTGGAAATTAGATTACATTATCGGTAACACACAGAGTGACATGTATTCCCGGCATATCACACTTGCTGTTTGACAGCATTAACAAAGATGGACATTTGAGTAGAGGAAACTGTTTTTCATCACTTGCAAGCCACCACTGTACTATATGGATAAAGAATTCATGCCACACTTTAATAGTAGCCACACAGACAGAGAAGCACAGTAGCACAGATAAATAGCAACACAATCTTCTACTTATATTGTGGAGAAAATAACAATAAGAGTACAAGTTTCTGTCTTATACTTTTATTATAACCAGCTGAGATAAGGTTTATGCAAATATGTTTAATAAGGAGAAATGCAGATTAATCAAATTACAGTTTACTCTGCACAAGAGCATAAAATACGAATACTACTAAAACAGGTTAAAGTAACAATACACTTGAAATACAGCTGAAAGCCTGGTTCCACTCACAATCAAAATCATGCCAACCACACAAACATTTTGAAAGCAACTGTAATTATGAACAAGCACCAGTTCAGCCTCTTACTTAAACATACTACATAAACCAATGCTGCTAGTGCAATGTGGAACTTTGAAACCTCTGCCACGAAGAGATTTCTGAAAAGCTGTAAGAAAAAACAGTGTCCCTTTTATAAAAGCTGATACACCAAAAGAAATCAAACCAGGCTTTTGGGAACGTAACCTTTTTGGATGAATTATCAAAAAGGAGAGAGGTCAGGCTGCAAAGAGTAGAGCAAGAAATGCATGCCAGCCTGATGAGCCGCTCCGAATGGGTGAGCCAATGGAGAGGAAGCGCTGGACAGATTTCCCTCTCTGCTATGGGGACATGCTGGAACTTGTTACCCATCTTTTTAGGCATTCATTTTCAACTCTAACACAGTAACAGTCTTTAATTTAGTCTTTAATTCAGCCTTTACACAAAGCAATGGACTATTACATACATTCTTACACGAAACTACACTGTACTTGTTTCCCTGTCTTATATTACTGTGACCCACAGGCCCATCACTAGAAGGCTTACATTTATCAGTCACATGAACATATCAACTGAAAAAAAACATAAATCCTAAGGCTTCTGTAAACAATCATTCTTCTGTATCTTTCCCTCAGCCCCAGTCATCTAATCTTATCTTAGTGCAGTTGTAGGAGCTGATTAAATTGCAGCTCTCTCCAGCACCTCAGTGCAGAAAAACACAAGACCTTTAGATACAGACCTAATTAAGCCAAAAGTAACATGATATCAGACACACAGTTTTGCTTTGCTTCCTCCATACAGAACATTATACAAAGTATACCAAACAGCCTCCTTAGGCTGTTTCTTCATCATGAAATTATTTGTTACAACAAGCTATTACACGGCCTATTTAACAAACAGAAATGTTAGCGCTAACAATAGTAACATTGTTATCTCAGCAAATTACAACTGATTGGCATTCGCCCCTGTAAAGAGCCCAGTGCTGAGAGACTGATAAGTTCTAAAGGCAGTCAGATCCATTTCATTTCCAAAGCATCGAGGCAAAGCACAGTCAGTTTGTGAAATAATGTAAGAAAATGAAGTCTCAGGACAGATTTGCTCTGGAGTCCTGCTGGCATCCCAAATTGGAAAGCAAACTGGTAAAAGAGCAGATGTACAAAATAACACAATTGTAGATCCAAAGATTTCTAATTCAATCCGGATGTGTAAATTACACTGAATAAAGAATTCTATTAAAATTTATTTAAAAAAAATCACAAAAAGAATATACTAGTTTTGCCACATATTGCTTTTTTTTCATGCAACTAAAATAAGAAATAGTTCAGTTATTTGTCCTTCATCGCCAAAACTGCAGTAGCAAGACTGGAAACAATTCTAGGAAGATTCACTAGAAGTGGTTAAAGATCAGGATGTCGTAACAAACAGTTCATTGGGTCGGATATCGAGATAAATAAAGATCTTGCTTTCTGCATGAGTGAAAGCTCATCGTTAGCACTTCATAAAGCTAATTTTACACATAACATATCTACAATTTGGATAATGTTTCCACGGTGAGCCTCCTTTTGTAAATTTCTACACATTGCTGCTCTCTGGAACAATTTCTATTTCTTGCCATTCTTCCAGCTGCTGTAGTGCTTTAGCTTCATAACATCTGCAGATGAAATTACTATGCTTTCTACTTCCTCTTTCAGATCATTAAAGAAAACATTATGTAAAATAGTGAAGCACTAAACACTTCATTTATTCAGAAAATTAGCAGATCTGTCCCAGTGGACAAGAGACTGACTGTGACTGAAGCACTGATGCCTTGTTTTACTGTTTGCTGGGAATTTTTTAAATTTTTTTTTTTAAAGACACATGAACACAGAATAATTTAGAAAGCTGTGTTCCCTTAATCAGAAATCAAACTTAGCACTTAGCCATTAGACCACTATTTTAAGTTTAGAGATAAAAACAAGAATTAGAAGCTTGACAAAATGACAAAACTGTTGTTTTCCCATCACCTCTCACCCTGCCCAATGTTTGTCTTCTGCAGATGAAGAAAGAAGTGATCTCAACCATAAGACAGAAAACACTTTGGAAATAAACTGAAAAGCTTCTCAAGTACTTTTTACTTTAGTTGATGATGTTTACAGGAAGATGCTTCACTTAGGAAAAAAAAAACAAACAAAAAAACCCCAAACTTTAAAATTTGAACCAACACATTTTTTCCAAGGAAGGCTCTAAAACTACATATAAACTACTTTACTCTACAGAGATGGTGGATTTTCATTTTGCATTAATAGATATATGCAATATGTTCTTTGCATTAGTACACTCTGCTAGAATTGGTAGTTATGGTATCTAAGGAATAAGTATCAGACATCATGCACTGAAAGGAGAAGCGTTCACACAGCAATGCCTGCAGGCTCTCTTCTGAGGCAGAGTCTCAAGCTAGATACTAACAGTGAGCTAATTTCCAATAACAACAATTTTTCATTATGACATACTATTGTATAAGAAAAACACACTCATGCTGGAAA